GACACGTTACTTCAATAGAAAAGCCACTGAAATATCAACTATATGCATCTGCAGGGTATCGTAGCACCACTCTATCGCAATAATTGAATAAATAGGAATCAGTACAGAATGAAAAAACCGGAAATACGACGATATAAACTGATTTGGCAATAAAGGCAATTGACAGAAGCAGCCTATGCTGTGCACCGAATTCGGATACGTTGGTTTCAACCCACGGTAAATGTACATGCCACATACGGAACTAGCTTCATGGAGCTGTGAGGNTTTAATCTTTTTTCTAAGTCATCGAACGCGCGCATTATTCGCTCTATCCAGACCGGGACTTGAAACGAGAGACGTTGAGTTGGGTGTACCTTTATCAGATACACAGTCGGCAGCCCCCCAGAAAACACCACGTAAAGTACTTTCTACTCCTAAACGGTGATGGTGTACTCAAACCTGAACAAAGCGTCGACGTTATAACATGGAATCCGCTGAAAATCGAACTTAAAACTGTTCCGCAAGTTTCAAGTTTTAGTGTTTTCTCTCAACTATATACCAGCTATGGGTAAGAGTCAAGCGCTAACGTGGCTGAGAACAAAACAGATAGAGCAACTGACAGCGAGTGATCGAGACTTATTAAGCTCGTAAGCACGTAATACGGTAGAGATCCAAACGAAGGGATTGTAAACGTCAGATAGACAAAAAAGCTTTCAAAATGTAGCACATCAATTACCGTACGAACGGGAGGTAAACAACAATGTCTACACTGACAGATCTCGCCTTTCGAACCGATTGCACGGTGGTTTCAGTGGTCGTGACAAACTGCATAAATGCAAAAAAAATCATCAACTGTTCACCTCGAGCTTTTCTGATACATGGAGAAACCCTAGGTATTGAAATAACCAGCACATCACACAATCAATGACGTAAGTAGAGGTAATATATATCAAGTAGTAATAGAAACGACAGAGTGATTAAGATCCCTGAACCAGGAGGAGAGAACCGTTATTCAGTCGATTTACCTGGCTGCTGCTTGGAATCGGCTGCGCAAATCCTGCTCTTCAGGACGGGCACACACACGACTAGCTTGGGTCATCAGTGCATGGCTATGGTCGGACACGGTGACCAGACCGTTGACCAAATCCTGATTTACTTGCGGTTGATTCGGTGGAGTGAGCGGAACTCCNACTCCCTTGTCTGTGAGTTGATCGTATGCGCCAGTGAAACGTCGCGTGGTTCGTCGAAAAGCGCCGGGTGAATACGAAGATAGGAGATCACCAGTTGCCTGGGACAATCAGGAGAAAAAACAGTGCGTAGAATGATGTAGCGAAATAAAACCATATGCACCAACGTGTTTTGAAGGTGAAGTCGCTTAAGTCATAACGTTTAACCAATCGTTTTGCCTCTTCATCAAACTGAGCAACTTGTATGCAAACCATTTGTCACCAGTCGGGGTCATGTCTTGACTGTTTGTGAAAGATGTCATTTTGATAGGAGGGGAACTTTCACAAGTAAAATGTCAAGTTATCAGTTGAAAGTAAGCCAAGTCCAAAAAATGAAAAGAACACATCTAATCACTGTAATTATGTTGTTTGGAGAATATACAACTCTAATCAGCTCGTGTTGGAGATGATGAAATGTTCAGAATCCCAAGTCAGGTATCTGTCCAGTGGTGAATACGCGCTACAAGATGCAGTACGGACTAGGAGAAAGTTGCTGAGAGGCCGATTAGATTAGTCCAAATGGATAGTGAATCCAATTAAATCAAACACATTCATGTCCGAGTTCTAATCTCA